AATTCAACTGAATTCAATATAATCATTCTAATAAGTATTATAGCTTCATGCTTGTGGACTTTGGAGCCCTTCTTTAGAAGATATGATTTCTGTAAGGATAATGGAAAATTTGAATATTAAATAGGATATGAATGTCTTCAAGGTAGAAAAATTCCTTGAGTGTCCCAACTCCTGTGACTAAACACTTCTATCCAATGAAATGGGGAGAGAGAAGTGAAGACAGTTTTCCACTGGTCTTCAAAAGTGGCCACATTTGAAAGCACTTTCAGAAGTTCGTGAAAAAATGGAATTCAAAGGTAAGTTTAACTTCATGCCTAAAACATCTGAAATCCATACATAGTATTTTTATAATCTATATTTTCTGGGAATTTTTTGAAGACCTCCCTAGACACAGATTTCAAAAATTTTTGCACCAAAATAAACTTATCTTTTAATTCCATTTTCCACTGACATTTGGAAGTACTCCCATATTCTGGGGTCTCCAACCTAAAAAATGTTTACGTTCTTTGCCATTCATGCCCCTCCAAGCTAGAATCAGTGTAGCTGATGCTTTAACAGATAGAGCTGTATCTTCCACCAAAAAAATAAGCAATGAGATCCGGGCCTTTAAAGACCCAACACCCAACCCAATATCAAAGCACAGAAATGCGGTTCCTAGATGCAAAAGGGGCAGCATGAACAGTGTCTGGCATTTCAAGTTGGCTGAGGATGGAGTTCCCTCACGGGCTGTAAGTTTCTTGTTGATGGGGTTAGTCCACACCTGACAGACACTGGAAGGAGATTCATACAATTTGACTTTCCCTGGGATAATAAGAATTACATGATGCTTCGAAAACTGAAAGTAGAAAGAGGTGGTATCGCTGATGTGCTTTCAGGCAGGGAAGGCCAATATTTAAAGAAATTAACTGATGATGCCGCTTAGGACAGCTACAGAGGGCATTTAACAGAAGCCGAGGCTCCCCTTGATGTTGTAAAATCAACCACTAATGCATCTATAGCATGTTCCATTTACTCTTTGGAGTCCATTGACTCATGGGAAATATTTGTTGTCTGCCCTTGTGACCACTTCTTGGTGTGAAAGAGTTCCTGAGGCATTCGTGGGATCTTGTTCTGCTTGGACAGACTGAACGGCTGGAGCCATCCTGAGGTTCACAGCAGACTAGCTGCTGACCGCCCCTTTCTCAGGCAGGAGAACAGATTGTCAGACCAGCAGCTTACTTCTCTCACGTCTTCCTCCAACCCTCCCACTCCCCGATGACGGTCATTCGCAATCCCCGAGGGGCTGTGTATTTATGACTGTCCCTGGTCCTGTTGGGCCTCGTCCTTCATGGATTCCTTGCTTCAGAACTACTGTGTACTGTGTTCTCGGTGGCATAACTCACTCTCGGGTGCTACAGCCTTCAGAAAGGTACCCCAGAAATGGATGGAAGAGGCATAAAAACTCCACATTCTGATGAAAACCACTGCTGGAAACTGGATCAGTCATGTTTTAACCCGGGTAGTCTCTCTTTTCACCTGATACTCAGAAAACAATATTTCTCAGAGCACAGATGTTACTAGAAAAGAAAAAATGCCCATGATCAAATAAGTCTGGGAAATGCTGGATTAAATAAAATTGGAGAGCTTTCTTTCTTATAAGACTCTTTAGATCCTTTGATCTGCTAATTGCACCAGGATGCTCGAAGATAGAGTTAAAATATGCAGCACTTTCCCAAAATTCTTTGCCCATTGAATCTTTGTTTCAAGACTTTTCTCACGGGACTAATGTTCTAAAAGTTACTTTGTGAAATGCTAGTCTAGACTTATAATACTTGGATTCAGTTTCTCTCAAGGAGAACACAAAATTGTAGTAAAGGAGAAAGGGACAGGAAAGAAATGGAAAAGAATATAATTCTGCAAGTATCTGGCAATACTTGAATTTCTTAAGGAAAATGAGTTCCTCTGGAAAAGTAGCAAGGTGATGATTTTTCATATTTCTTTGTTTTCATGTGTTCTGATCTCTTAATAAAATTCAAGAGGCAATGTCAACATTGTAGAAGTCCAGTGACCAAAAGGTGTTACTGGTCAATCTTTGTAGTCACAGGAATAAGAGATTTTTCAGTTTTAAATCAGTTTAGCTGACATGGACACATTTTGGACCGCTGGTTTAAATCCCATCCAAATCAACCCATTATTAAGACGTTCATGTTGTCAGATACTGATATAAGTAGTTCAGCTCGATACATAGTAGTGCATGTGGCATCACACAATCATGTGTAGGGTTTGTAACCAACTGGGAAAGACTTTCCGGCCTTCCATAACTGCTATATTCCGGGACTGCAATGTATAGCAATACATGCACTGGTTTGTAATTTATTGATTACTAAATCTCAGAATCCATTTTCTTAGTCTTAAGGACTAGTTAAAAAGAACACGTAACAATCCAGGGGATGTAGCCATCTTCATCACGGAAGCCAAACTAATCAAATTCAGGGTTCCTGGCTTCCTCTCCCTCTTCAACTGCAAGAGTACAGGGAGGGAGGTTCCAGGTGACAGCCACACAGGCATTTCACTCTCACCATGAATCTCACTGCAGACTAAGTTCCTAACATGGGTCCCTAGTTTACTTATAACTGCCATTTATCTGTCTTGTTCTGATTGATGTGTCAGAAAGGAATTGATCTAGACGTCAGAGGATCTGGATTCTTGTCCTAGGACCAGAAGACAAACTTCGGGGAGGCAGGGGTTCTGTCTTGTCCATCACACTCTTCCCCAAGCCCCCGAGGGTGGCTGGCACGGAATTTGTGCTCTATGTAACGGGTGAATGAGGTTATGAGCTGCAGTAGAACTGCAGTGAGTTCACCTCCCTCCAGGGGCCTGGATTTCTCACCTCGGGAAGAGGTCACCTTTCTTCATGTGTCTGGGTTGGTTACAGTACTCACTGGGATGGAGGATGTGAGAGCAGAAAGCTATCACCATCCCCTAACAACAGTAGTGACAAAGGTACACTAAACGTCTTGAAAACATGTCTTGGCCAAACACTCTTCAAGGAATGCTAACTCTTCCAGGAAGGGCCCCACCCCTGAGCAATCAATTCTGCCCTGTGACAACCCGTTAGCATCTATGGACAAACATAAGAGGGTCAGCCCAGCAGGCGAGATGCTCTTGTTTGTGACTACAGATCTCTGGAAAAACAGGAGGAGATTCGCTTTTGAAAGTAGTACTATTCATAAGGCAGGTAAATCTGATGTGGTGGCCCATTTCCAGCAGGATGCATGAGTATATGTGTCTCTATGACGGGACAAGCCAGCTTGTTATTTCAGCAGGTCCTGGTGGGACCCACTGTCTCCTTTGATTCAAATCCTTCTTTCATTCTTTACAGAATTCTCTGTTCCTATCTCTCTGAGTGGAGTAGGGGGTGGGGCTTAGGGGTAAGAAGAATCTCAAATGGTCTTCTAGCATGTATGGCTCAAAGGAATAGCCAAAGTGGGGCTGGTGCCACTCCCCACCACCACCAACAAAATGTCACATGGACCTTGCATGGGAGAATGACAAGAAGTAAAGGGCAGTGTGCCAAAAGGCAGAGACCAAGAATGAGGGTGAAGAGATTGAATCAGCAAGTGTACTGGGGCAGGAGGTGTGTGGCAGTGAATAGGAGTAAAAATAAAACTAAGCCAAAGCAAAAACACAGACATAAAAGATGTCTTAACATTAACATCTCTCTCCACTTTCCAGATCTCCAAATCAAAAGCCATTTCTTGAGGGCTAAAAGCATGAGCTGCCGCCTTTCTAAGCCTGGCCTCAGAAAGCTGCTGCCCTGTGTGAACACCATCCACAGGGTTAGGGCCTCTGAGGGCTAATGTGCCTGGGTATGAGGGTTGGCCATAGCTAGGGAGCCTTCTGATGGAGGCTGCCTCACTGCACAGCTCCCGAGAAGGTTTCTAACACTGTGTTCTATGTCACAGCTCTCCCTGGAGCTGTACTCCTGGCAAAGGATCTTACAGATGTTATCTTCACTTCTCCTTTGGGATGCTAGTGACATAAAGTGAAAAGAAAATAGGGTTATCCGAAAAAACAAAACAAAACAAAACAAAACTTTTCGGAACAGAGTAAGTACCCTCTGCCCTGGCAAATGATTAGGTGTGTGCATCACACAAGGTTCTTCCAAAAAGCCCTTCCCATCCCATGTCCAAAGGCCTTCCATTTATCTCAGTGGTTCTATTCCTCTATCTGCTGACCCTTCCCTACTGAAACTTATGGTATAAATCATGGCAGGACTCCTTGACAAAATGAAAGGTCACAGCACAAGAAAGGAAGAAATGTTGTTAATAGTATGTTATCCTGTGAGTTTGCTTCTAATTTCCTAGTTTTCATAAAATTCACCTTCAAGAGTTTCAATACTAAAAATTATAAATAGTTTTTGCATTTGATGGGTGAGTGTGAATATCACTGAAACCACAGGCAGTTTGTCTTTGGGTCGATTCATCTTTCCACTTGCTTTACTTAGTTCAGGGAGAAGAGTCCAAACCAAATAAACCAGACTCCTTGACTTCATTGGCTGAAATGCCAGCAAAAAGCAAATCTCTCCTTGTTGTTTCACTCCACCATCAATTTGCATCACTAAGGAATTTTCTAGGAAAATGCTCAACAAACTCAAGACTCTGCTGGTTGCCAAGCTCATGGAAACAAAGTGCTGTCTTTTAAAACTCCAAAAGAGACATTCCAAAGTAACCCACCATTAGAAATTGAGCCAGCGATACATTACATATCTACGAAGGAAGAAAGGAGGGGAGGAAAAGAAAATGCATAACATAAACAAGAAAAGACAAAACCTTAAAGAGGAAGGAGAAAGGAAAACATTTAGATTCCTTGAGTGATGGAAATAAATACCAAAGCTATTAGTTTCAGTTCAAAGAACATATCACTTTATGCTGTTTATTATTTCTTGAGGATTATTTATTTTATCTTAAACTATCCAAAGGGTAAAAAGGGTCTTGGAGGTACGCGGCGTTGAAACTGACCTGGTCCGGTGAAGGCCTGTGATTGGAATGCTGTGACCTCCCGGGAGATCGGTGGTGGTGGTGGTGGTGGTGGTGGTAATGGTGGTGGTCCTCGTTGTAGTTGTCTGCCATCAGCTTCATTCTGTTCTGGGTCTGTGAGGAACAAAAACCAGGGAAGGGCCCATCAGGAGCAGGAAGACCAGCCAGGGACGCGGGGCATTGTCACAGCACCTGTGGGTCTCTCCCTTGGCTCCCAATCCAGAAGTTTTAGTTCATTCTTAGGCAAGTTGAAGCTTAAACAGTACAGTATCTTTTGCTTTATTCAAAGAGGTGTTGTCACACTGTTGAAGCTACTATGTTACAACTGGGAATGTCAATGTACTTCCCCCCTTGTAATTCCAAAGGAGGGAAAAATAGACATGTTCTAGGGTTATTTGCTTGATATTTTATTGAGCATTCACAGAGCTGCAGAGTAAGTTTGCATCCACAAAGTGCTAATGATCGCATCCTACACTCCAGAGCAAGCCAGGGGTAATGAAGCTCTGCATGACAAGGTGGGTGGAGACACAGAACTACACACAAATAATGGCCTCAGAAGACAAGGCAGAGAAACCCACTGAAAAGCGACAATACTGATGCAGATGGTTCACGGCTACAGGTGATGTTTTGGGAAAGAGCTCTCTACAGATTTTAATTGATAACGTTTCTTGGAGGAATTGAACAAAAGGTTCAAAGTTGATGGGACAAGAGTTGACAACTCTAATTTATGCCCCATGATGTCTGTCACATGAGGCAACTCAGTGTCAGAGTTCAATCCTCAGGCTATAGAATTGTACTATTTTATTATGCAAGGCAAGAAATGGACCAGTGATGAATTCACCTAACAGGTTCACAGAAATTAGAAAAATGCTTTTTAAAAAGTACATAAGGGACTGGCACTGTGGCATAGTGGGTAAAGCCACCGCCTGCAGTGCCAGCATCCCATATGGGTGTTGGTTCAAGTCCCGGATGCTTCACTTCCAATCCACCTCTCTGTTGTGGCCTGGGAAAGCAGTGGAAGATGATCCAACTCCTTGGGCCCCTGCACCCGTGTGGGAGACCTGGAAGAAGCTCCTGGTTCCTGACTTCGGATTGGCGCAGCTCTGGCCGGTTTGGCCAATTGGGGAGTGAATCAAAGGATGGAAGACCTCTCTCCTCTCTCTGCCTCTCCTCTGTGTAACTCTGACTTTCGAATAAATAAATAAATCTTTTTTAAAAATGCACATAAAATTATTCTGCTCAGAAAGCCAGCAAATGTGGGTCTGAGTGATGGACATTTAATTTAGCAGTAAAAACATCGGTTAAGGTATCCACAATCCACATTAGAGTACATAGGTTGGATACCTGGCCCCAGCTTCTGGCTCCAGAATCCTGCTAAGGCAGACCCTGGGAGGCAGTGAGGATGTCACAAGTAGTTGAGTTGCTGATTAATTTTTTAGATCCCGGCATTGACCCTGGCCCAGCCTCAGTTCCTGTGGACATTTGGGGAGTGAACCAGTGGATGGGAGCTCTCTCCATCTGTATGTCTTTGCCTCTGCCCCTCAAAAAAGAAGTGGGCTTGTGGATAGGACTACTTGGTTTCAAGTCCTGCTCCACTTCTTTGCTGATTATGTGACCTCATGAGAGTTGACTGTTTATGAACCTCAATTTCCTCAACTCTGCCACAGGAATAATAGTATCTTTGTTAATGGGGCTGCTGTGGGGAGCAGATGGTAGGAGGGATTTCTTTTTTTTTTTTAAGATTTATTTTATTTATTTGAAAGACAGAGTTACAGAGAGAGGTAGAGACAGAGAGAGAGGTCTTGCATCTGCTGGTTCACTCCCCAGATGGCCACAATGGCCCAAGCTGTGCCAATTTGAAGCCAGGAGCCAGGAGCTTCTTACAGGTCTCCCATGTGGGCCATCTTCTACTGCTATCCCAGGCCATAGCAGAGAGCTAGATCGGAAGAGGAGCAGCCGGGACTAGAACCGGTGCCCATATGCGATGCCAGTGCTTCAGGCCAGGGCTTTAACCCACTGCACCACAGTGCTAGCCTAGGAGGGATTTAAAATATGGGTCCAGTTTCCAGGACATAATGAACTGCCAGGAAACATCGGATGCCACCATGTATTACTGCACCTGCTCTTTTCGGTAAGACATTTCTCCTTTATATGTGCTCTTTTGTTTGCTGGCAATGCTTTCTCTAGCCCCTTTCCCTCTAATGCCTGGGTGTGCCTACCTCACAAAGTTTTCTCTAGGAGCCTTTTCCTGACTTCACCCTTGAGGCTATACGGCACCTGTCTCCTGCTAACCAGGGCTGTATAAACACAGATTTGTCTGTGTGTTGGTAGATTTTATTTTTATTTATTTATTTATTTTATTTTTTGACAGGCAGAGTGGACAGTGAGAGAGAGAGACAGAGAGAAAGGTCTTCCTTTGCCGTTGGTTCACCCTCCAATGGCCGCCGCGGCCAGCGCACCGCGCTGATCCAATGGCAGGAGCCAGGTACTTCTCCTGGTCTCCCATGGGGTGTAGGGCCCAAGCACTTGGGCCATCCTCCACTGCACTCCTGGGCCACAGCAGAGAGCTGGCCTGGAAGAGGGGCAACCGGGACAGAATCCGGCGCCCCGACCGGGACTAGAACCCGGTCTGCCGGCGCTGCAAGGTAGAGGATTAGCCTAGTGAGCCGCGGTGCCGGCCGTGTTGGTAGACTTTAAGCCTGATTCCTTATCTACCTTCTGCTCCCTGACTCTAGTATAGGGCCTAGAAGATGTAGATACACAACACTTGCTCCTATAATGAGTGACTGAAAGAATGAAGGGACCGTGAACGTGAGAGGTCTGCCATCTTACAGCTGCATGTTTGTTCTCGTCAGGAAGGTTGTTGAGGCTTGAAGTCATCTCACGGTTTGCCATGACAATCCCATCGGTGGCTCAAGATAGCAATGAGCCTTCGGGAGATAAAGAGACCCAAAAGTCAGGCAGGGGCTGATGGGAGCTCTATCCAGTTGGGATTTGATTACGTAATTATAAATAATACTCTGATAATAAAAAGAACGCTGGAGCAAAAGACTTATACTTGTTGTAGTTTTCACATACAATCTAACTTGCTCTCAAAACTTTCCAGGAGGAATTCTTACTATCCTCATTTGGCAGCTAGAAGAGTCAGGAATAGATTTTAGCCCCTAGAGTCCCCTTCTTGACATTGAACATGAAGATTTTCTGGGTCTTCTAATTCCCAATCTCTAGGCTTTGCTCTTTGCCTTGCAAACTGTTAGCTAAAAAACAGCTAAACAGGTAGAAATTGCTTTCCCATAAAGGCTTTGGTTCTGTTAAGTTTTGGAAACACCTCACATCCCAGTTCTACCTGCCAAAGGATGTCTCGTGATTTACTCAGGCCATCTTTTAAAATGTGTACAATATTTGAAAGGTCCCAGAGTAGACATAAAAAAATGCATGCATATGATAAAAAAAAAAAAACACTAAAAGTAGAGGGAAAGGTCCACTTAAAATTAAATAAAAAAAAAATCCCAGGCAGGCAACCTTTGGCAGCTGATAGCATTTCCATCCTTCATTTGTCCACTTAATGTGCCAGAAGACCCAATGGACAAGTTATGCCTGTGAGAAAGAGCAGGTCAACAGAGCCTTCGCAGAGCAAGCGCTGAGATCCCCCTTAGTCAGCCTACCCTTAATTATGAGACCCTGAAATTCAGCACTCACACCTAACGTTCAAGTCCGGTCACAGGAGCCTGTACTTTTGAACTTGTGAGCTAATAAGTCTGGAGTTGTTTCTTCTAAACAGAATTCAGAGAGCCTAAAGGGAGCTGTGAGATCTGCCATGGACAAGAAGGCAGGCCCTCATGCAGGAATGAACGATGGAGTCTAAATGAACAAATAATAACTCTGCTATGATAAACATCATAACATCCTTATCCTTTGGGGAAGCTCCTGCGATTTTATGAGATTATTTTCTTACCAGTGACAAGCTTAGAGTTCCCTACCTTTGAACTGTATCCCATAAAAGAATGTACAAGCTAAACAAGATGCTATATGCAGCCTTAAATGTGTCTGCTGAAATGAGGTGTTGGAGAGTAGGCATGTCATGGGATAAAGACTGTAAATGAATGATGTCATCTTTCCAATTTGGTGCTGAAATATAAATAAACCACGTTGTTCATGTGAATACCAGATCTGGGGGAAATGTACACAGAGCAATTGTGAACGGAAGAGCCTTCTTTTGATTAGTCTGGGCTGGAAGAGAAGAGTGTGAAGCAGAGATGAAAAATGAGAGTTTGGTCTGATACTCTAGACCATTTGTATTTTTCTTTCTTGTAACATATCCCCTAAACTATGACCAGTTTCTAACAGGCTGGTTGCTAGTGTCCTCGCCTAGAAAACTGGCCAATCCTACTCCTTTAACTGTCAAGTTGAAAATGGGTCGGTCGGTCGGTCGGTCAGTTGGTCTCTCTCTCTCTCTCTTTCTGGCTCTCAAAATCTGCACTACCTATCCTCATTCCCACCCAATTGTACTGGTTTTCTAGCACACAAAGAATGATCTGGAAGGATAGGAATCCTGGTGGTCAGTGGCAGAAAAAATACAGAAGGGCATTGCCAGGACTGGAACAAGGATACCTATTCAAATAACTCCCAACACATTTGCCAGGTGATCACGTGTAATGGTCCATATATCTGCAGCCATCAGGTCCATGATGTGCCCACCTCAAAGCCTTAGACAGCAAATGTTCTGGCAGTCATAACTGAAATCCCAGGAAAACTAAGAAGAGAGCTGAAGAGTGACAGCTGTCCACAGCACAGTGCATGGGGATCAGGACTCATTCAGAGTCAAGGAAGCCCACTTTTATTCCCTTTGCAGTGTCTACCCAATTACTGGCTGGGGCTTTCGCCTTTCGCTAACTGTATCGGAATCCTTTTTACTCTATGATATTACAGCTGCAGAGACAAACATAACCAGATTTCATGTTCTACTTCCTCTTTCTTCTGAGGGCCACCTAATTTCTCAGAGCCAAAGCCTCCTAACAGCCCTCCTCTGTGCCCTTGCCTCACATCCCCTACCACCACTGAACACAGCCTGCATCCAGAGTGATGTCAGACTTCCATTATTCCTGGATTCAAGT